AAAAAAAAAAAAAAAAAAAGATTTTTTTAGTATAATTCCTAACCCTTCAATTTTTTCGCCTGAAAGCAGGAATCTGAAACTCACTCATACAAAGTTCAAGTTCCCATGAGACATTCTACAAAGAAAAGAAATAAAACACTTTGGGCATATTAAATATTCCAGAGGTAAATAGTTCTCACCCAGAGAGACCAGGTTTCTGTAGTTCTCTAACATCACATCCCTGTACAAATTCTGCTGAGCAGGGTCCAGGTATTCCCACTCCTCTGGAGAGAATTCTATGGCCACATCCCTGAATGTCAACAGTCCCTGAAATAAAAATAAATAAATACACTAGTATTCCTTAAGATATTTTCCACTCTAAGGAAAGAGAATGATACACAATCTATAAAATTAATATAGATACTGTTTATATACATACAATATAAAATATAAAACTAAAAGATCGACACAGAAATGCTCATTGGTGAGTGCTATATTTACATCACACAGTATCAGTTGTTACATATATCCCTCAGATAGAAAATTCATGGTGAATTAGAAGCAAGCATATTTTCTCAATTTTACTGAGTACAAAAATAAACTGGAGATGGTCTTATAATGCAGATCCCGATCCAGGAGATCAGGATGAGGCCTGAGATTCTGCATCTCTAACAAGCTCACCAGTGACGCCAAAGCACAAAGTCTACTTATTTATTTACTTATGTTTTGAGACAGAGGCTCACTGTGGCCCTCAGTAGAGTGCTGTGGAGTTATAACTCACAGCAACATAAACTTTTGGATTCAAACAACTCTCTTGCCTCAGCCTCCCTAGTAGCTGTGACTATTGGTACCCACCACAACACCTGGCTAATTTTTCTATTTTTAGTAGCGTTGGAGCCTTACTCTTCCTCAGGCTGGTCTCGAACTCCAAAACTGAAGCTATCTACCCACCTCGGCCTCCCAGAGTGCTATGAGTACAAGTATGAACCACCACACCCAGACAAAGCATCAGGTCTAAAAGCCACATTTGTGAACAGCAGAGAGGTAGAATACTGAAGGAAGAATTCATGGATGACATGGGATTGAGTTTTGTGAAATATATAGGTTATAACGTTATAGGAAGAATATCAGCAATCCTTTCTGAACAATGACTATATACTTCATGTCATTCTAGTAGCTTTCATATATTAATTCTTAAAACCACTAAAATAATTTATGGTAATTATAATTAATAACGTATAATAATATATTATAATTAATAATAATTTAGTATCTTCCTCTTTTACACGTGAGATATTTTGCCACTTACCAGTAAACAGCAGAGCGTGGATTTTACCCCAGTTTACCTGAGTTAGAATTTATCTCAAAGGGATATACAAGTCAATATACAGAAACAACCCCAAAGGAGTGTTCCCAGCAGATGTCATAATAGTAATGAAAGTTAAGTGGCAACACAGAATTGACCAAATAATGGTTACACTACATACAGATAAATACATATAAAAATCCATTGATTTTGCCAGGCACGGTGGCTCACGCCTGTAATCCTAGTGTTGCAGGAAGACGAGGCCCAACGGAGAGAAAGAGTACCCAAACACCATACTTATAAGAGGCAGGGCTTTATTCATTGGCCGGGAGCTTATGGCATAGAAGATTTCCAAACGGCCGCGCTCCCTGATTGGCTTGGTCTTTCCCTTTTTATTGACAGTCAAAAAGTTCCACCCCACAGGCACCCTTCCCATTGGCTAGTTTGAATCAAGCAGGAGATGCTACTCCAGCCCCCAAAGAACTACAGGATTTCACAGAACTTGAAAATTTCCAAGTTCCAGGAGGTTAAGCCTATAAATTCCCAAGAGCTGAGTCACCATAGAGAGGGCCCTGCAGGTGCATCCTCGTGGTCTCCCTGAGAAGACCTGTTCTCCTGGACCTCGCCCCTCTCCCGTATCCTCTCTTGCTAGCATTCTGGGAGGCTGAGGCAGATGGATTGTTTGAGCTCATGAGTTCGAGACCAGTCTGAGCAAAAGTGAGCCCCCCCCACCGCCCCCATCTCTACTAAAAATAGAAAAACTGAGACAAGCCCAAGTTGGAGGTTGCTGTGAGCACAATGATATAACCAAAACTAAGAACCTCTGTATTTTTTTTTTTTTTTTGGCCAGGGCTGGGTTTGGACCCACCACTGTTGGGTGGTGTTTTCTTGCAGGGAGAGGATGGTTTGGCTGCAGGTGCAAGGTCACTCACAGAATTCTGTGAAAGCAAGAAATGACCACTACTCAGGGTGGCAGTATACATCACATTGATTGATAATTCTAACATCCTCTATTCTTATCTTAAACTACAGAAAAGAAAGAAAGTCCGGAAAGTGAGATAACCATCTTAAGACTAGACTAAAGAAAGAAAGTCTGGGAAAGTAAAAGCCTCAGGCTATTCCTCTCTAAAGACCTAAAACAACTATATATTATCTGACTTCTATTGTTGAAGGTCAGGATAAACAGGGGAGTAAAACTTTTTTCTTCCATGTACTCAATTAAATTTCCGAGAAACAGGCTCCTCAACTGTTTTCTCATGGTTTGGAGGCCCTGTGGTTACGATGGAGTGTTTTACTTACATCATTACAACGGAGCTTTTCTTTTCACTCACACCAACCTTTGAGTCATGTCCCCTACACAGATGGGCCGTTTCAACCCTTATCTGGCAGGCTGACTTAACTGCACAGTCAGGGTTCCATGTAGGAGGTTGTTAAGCCTTGCCTGCAGGCCCCCACCGTGTTTTCCCAGGTTGCTTAGGCCTTGACAAAAACGCGTAATACTCAAGTCTTTTCGCTCAGTTTCTGGAATTAAAAGAGCACATTTAATTTTGTGGGAATCTATCCCACACGCCACCTCCAGTATACAGGGCCGGTGCCCTACTCCTTTGAGCTACAGGCACTGCCCCAAGAACCTCTGTAATTTTCTTTAGTTTTTTGTTTTATTGTTCTATGTGCCTTGTTATTTTAAGATGCTTAAATGTATTACTTTTATGTTAAGTCTTGTTTCCTTTCTCTGAAAATACAGAGAACAAAGACATATGTTTGTGGCATGAGGGTAAAGTAAAATGGAAACCCACAGATAGGACTCAGGCCTGTTTTAAGTCTACCAATGTCAAAAGCAGTATCTCGCCCAGTGTGGTGGTTCATGCCTGTAATCCTAGCACTCTGGAAGGACAAGACAGGTGGATCTCTTGAGCTCAGGAGTTTGAGACCAACCTGAGAAAAGAAAAATTCCATCTCTATTAAAATTAGAAAACCTAGGTGTTGTGGTGGGTCTCTGTAGTCCCAGCTACTCAGGAGGCTGAGGCAAGAGGATTGCTTGAGCCCGAGTTTGAGGTTGCTGTGAGGTATGACACCCTGGCAC